AAGGGACCATTCCCTGGAGAAGGATGTCATGCTTGGTAGGGTGGAGGGTCGATGAAAGAGGGGGAGGCCTTCAACAAGATGGATTGATAAGGTGGCTGCAATGATGGGCTCAAGTATAGCAGGGATGGTGGGGCTGGCGTGGGATCGGGCATTGTTTCGTTCTGCTGTGCATGGGGTCTCTATGAGTCGGAAACGACTTGACGGCACTTAACAACAACAACAACAACATCGCTATGGAAGTAGATTGCTCAGTCTTCCTTCCAAGGAGTGACTAATGGGTTTGAATCACCAGCCTCTGGTTAGCAGTCAAATTCCTTAAGCACTACACAACCAGAGCTCCCTGGATTAATGCATAGGTCAGAGAAATAGTATATCACTTAATACTACAAAAGTAATGTCCTGAATATCTAAAGATAGCAATGGTTAGCAGTATATACCTTTAGTGAAAGGCACTAGGGAATGGAGTAGGAAAAATTGAATTTCATAATTTCCTCTACTAATTTTATTGTTTTACACCATGGACATAGATTACTTCCATAATAAAGATGAAGGATTTTATTTTTTAATATACACAGTGGACACTTAAAAACAAAAAATTTATAAAATGGTTGAGTGCCTGAATCCAAGGTTACTTTGGCACTGATTCGGCAGTGATTAATCAAAGGACAAATATCCCCAAAAACTATGATGAAAACTGTGTCCCTCTTAGGAAACGTTTTGATTCCAGTAGCAGCATTGCTAGATGAGAAGCAAAATTCCAGTACACAAAGGCCTGGATTGAAGTCAGATAATCCAAGCATTAACCCTTAATACATTGCTTATTTGTGGTGAAATCTTATGCTAACACTGCTAACTTTTTATGCTCCAATTTATTTTTCTATAAAATAGAGTTAATATTAACTGCTTTGATATCTAAGAGAGTTGTCAGAAGTTTAAATGAAAAAACATAAAAAGTGAAAACTTTTTTTAAGAAGAAATAACATTAAACTGACCTGGAATTGCCAGAAGATTGCTGGTTGTTAGCTTGTCTGTAAATATAAATGACATTAAAATAATTATTACATATTTTTAAATGATTATTAGGAATTCA